TACCCTGTCCTTAAGTGTTGTGTTTTGCTTTTTGTAACAGAGGGTGGCTGGGCTGAGGAAGGGGGGGAGTGGGATAAAAATACCTTATGTAATTTTAAAGTTATTATTTTAAAATTTGTATTTCAAAATGTTAGTCGTAGTCATATCTTCAATATTCAGCTCAACCACAGGCAGAAGGCAACAGGCAGGGAAAAAAATGCATAAAACCAACTTTCACCTAAGTAACAATTATTAATCCAAGTTTTTTTCATTGATAAAGTGTGTCCCCAGAATGTTGTTGAAAATCTTACTAAGGGAACCAGTTTTAAAGTGAATGTGTTCAGTGCATCAAGGTATAGATGATGTGTGAAGTAGCAGAAGTAAAGAACTGTAAAATTATTGTCATATATTTACCTTTCTCCTTGGTTTCTAGAAATGAAGACAGTGAGGTAGCTTTGCCAGTGAGTATGGTTCTGGCCTTCATCTGTGTCTGCTGACGGTTTAGATACTTGCCCTCCCATTTCAACTGTGGTAGAATCTATTAATCCTTTAACAGAATTTGAACCCTCTGAACTCCCTACTGTAGAGTGGTGAAGAAGTTGTGGGTTTTTTTAGTATGTTCCTGAAAGGAGGTTGTGCATCTTTCAAAACGCATAGGATAAAGTTTACACCTCTATCAAAAAATCATTTGTGAATCCACAAAGTCTTGGAGGACCAGTAGTATTGCCTTAAAGCATAAAGGTATTTTAACATCCTGATTTTTTTTATTATTATTATTATAGTTAGATGTAATTTGACCTTGAAATTCATGTTTTGCATACAAGATTTAAGTATTTTCTTCCTGTAAGTAAAATCTCTTCAGCAGGATATAGAGTCTCTGGGTCTAGATTTGCGAACTGCTCCTGGAGCGAACACTTTCCTTCTTGCAAAGCCTCCTTCTGCAGTTAGGGAGAATGCAGTCCAGCCTGAACTTGTGGTCGACAAGCTAAAGCCTTGTGTTTCTAGAGCAGAAAAAGGTATGATATGTCTATGAGGATGGCTCTGCTAGCAAAGACATTTCTCAGATTGATAGGATAGAAACCAGATATATTAGCGTGCTGCAGCCCTTCTCTCGCTCTTTTCAAGTGGGCTTTACCCAGTTCAGTTCAAGCCTTCTGTGCACAGCGTCACTAACCTCTGCTTCAGTGATACTAGAGGACTGTGAAGTTTGAGTTCTCTTCTCAGTCTTCAGTTAATGTTGGAAAATAGGAAAAGTAATCTTTTTCCCCAAATCCTAGGAGGATGGGGAGCTGCTGCTGTACAATCAGCAGCAGGGGCACAGTGCAGGCAGCTGGTGCAGGAGGAGCAGTTCTCACGCACTCCCTTGTCTCTCTCTCTCACAAATGTCATCAGCTGGTGGTAAGAGTAGCAGCAGCAGGATCACAGGGGTATATCTCACATGATTCACTGGGGTCCTGAGTTTATAAAAATAGTAGAAAGAACAGACACAATTTCCACTAAGAAGTAATCTCTAGGGTGTAATGCCCTGGAAGGCAAGCCTTCTTTTCTTTCGGAATTTTCCACTTCTCATCGTGACGTCTTTGCATCGCAGACACCAAGCAGTTGTGAGCATTCCCATGGCAAAGCAAGTCTGTGGTTTGCCATGTGCACAGACTCATTGTTATAGACTCACTGTGCTTTCGTTTTCTTTGCTTTTCATTGCCAGACGTGGAAAATAGAAACTGTCCTTTAGTGAATGTATTTCCTGTCTTATTAAAATAAAGAAATCACTGTTCATAGTTCTTGCCTTGGTCTTGCTAATATTGATTTCCATTGAAAAACAAGCCTTACCTGATAACCACTCCCCCACACGTGACACTTTAGTGCTTTAGGAAAGTTCTGGATTGATATCCCTAGACAATGAAGCCTTCTACCTGTAAAACCTGTCACCAGCAACATCACTCTATCTTCTTAATCAGTATGTCTCAAGTGTAGTTGAAAAGATCAGTGTTTCAGATTCTCATTTATGCACTTGTTCTGCAAAACCGCATGCATTTATTTTGCACTGACTTGAATAACGTTACTGGGGAAAGTTGCGTTAATCACATATTTGGGTTGGTTCTGTGCTTAGCTTTATAATAAAGATATGAAAGCTTTTTTTTAAGATTTGTGGTCCAGATGGCATTCAACATTCACATATAGTATTAGTAATCTGTTCTAACAGCTGTTTTACGTCCTTGGTACCAGTGGGATTAAAAAGGGTGGTATAAGCATCTTTGCCAATAAATGATAAAATGAATTAACAGTCATGTGGGTCACAGCCATTATATTAGAAGATGGGAAATTGCTTGCTGCATTTACTCTTTTCAACAGCTTAAATATTTGTTTTAATTATTCTTCATCAAAGTTTGTTTTCAGCAATTAAATCTTTTGATGTTATGCGTACTTGCTGTTAATTCAGTGACAGAAGATACTGATTTGTTTGACACGAAATTTCAGTCTGGTTTTGTACTGATCTATAACAAAGAGGCTACTGGTGGTATAAATCATATTGATATGAGTTTGGTCAAGTTTGATTCAGTGTTGGTGTGCTGCTGTTGTTGACCCCTACTGCTAATTGTAGCTTGACATCCATTTTCCTTGTAGCTTAATAGGAAAGCTGTACTGCTTGTCAAAATCCTCTATTTTTTTGAAGTTATTTAATGTTCAGTTTATTGCTGCATTGTGAACAAGACCAGGATGCGTAAATTCTGAGAGAGTTCCCTAGCTGGATTAGTTAACAAAAAAAAAAAAAAGGCGGGGGGGGGAGAATTCTGAGGATTCCCAGCAGTTCTTTCTCTTTGCATTTCCTGCTTGTAAAGTTTCACTGTGTGATCACAAACCAATCAGATTCCATTTTAAAGCTTGTAATGATGTGGACTCATTTCCTTAGCAGGTCTTAAGGTTTGATCAGAAACAGTCTGGCTAGTGCAACATAAGCATCTTTCAGATGCAACGTGGTAACTGGCTGTGTGTGTTCTTGCAGTCTACTTTAGTACCAGTAATATTGGCTCACTTAAACCTCATTCCTCTTTCAAGTACCTTTCAGCATTGTTAAATGGTTTTCAAAGGCCTGCTTTGCTTGCCAGAGCAAGAGAGTTATGAGTGTGCATGTAGTTACTAGTGTCAGCCAGCAAAATGACAGCTTACATCTGGAGACAGTAACTTCCTGAAACTCAATAGCCTGATCCCATACTGAAAATACTTTTGTTTTAAAGGGCGGGGAGAAGAAGGTCACTTTTACTCAAGTGTGAAGTGTCACGGTCAGAAAACGAATGGGCCTTTCGTATTCTAAGTGGATGCACAAATTAGCTTATATTGTCTACATTTATCTGGATGTCAGTAGTTGTCTTCAGTTATCTGTATTGGGTGAATTTCAAGTATTGAGTGTTGTGTTGGGTCAGTGCCCTGGTGGCCAGCTTGTTGCCTTTCCAGGAATCACTAGAAGCAGAAATTCTTCCCAGAGAGCTCCTAACCACCCTTCCTGGTATCTTTTGCCTGCGTTGTCATCTCTAGGTCCTCTTTGCTTTTGCACAGTGGAAAAAACAGCCAGTGGAGGTACACCTCATATCTTCAAGTCACCTTAAAAGAACCCTACTGCCCCTTGCCTGTGGTTAGTGGGAGCCCTCTCACAGAAGCCAGTTTCACATAGTCAAATTATACAACAGACTTCAGCTCATTTAATAATACAGAAAACCTAAGTCCTTGACCAGGGTCTAGCTATATTCTCCAAATAATTTATTGTTTGTCTCTTTTGGTGCAAGCTTTGTAGCTCCATGATGGTAGCAAAGATTTCCTGATTTTATGCAGGCCTTAGGGAGGAAAATGTTCTGACAGTACATTTCCTGTTGTCTGCTATTACTTGCCATTTTTTTTTAAATAGGGCACTGGTGCTGTATGTGCATACCTTTAAGTCCTTTGGGGGTCTTTCAAGATACAAGATGTTGGTTTTGTTAGTAATGGGCCAACCCTTTCCAGTGCATTTCAAGCAAACACTTCACAGTTCTCCAGGAGTTAGGACTAAGACAAACTTGAGCCACATTTTTGTCCTTTCTGTTCCAGACTATTTTGAATGCTGTTCTATTCCTAGTATAATTTATACTGAAAGGAAAACTGTACTGTAAGGGTACAACAATTGCCACAGATGACAGTATTGATGGCCACACTGTTATGAATCCCTCCTGGTCTTGACAAACTGCTTCAGTACAGACTGTGGAAGAGGCATTCCCCACTGAGGAGCTTTGTACAATTTACACAGTACTTAAAATCACAGTTTTCCCCATATTGAATTCAAGGCTTTTATAGTTTGCTGTTCTCTGCCACAGCAGGATGTTAAATTCACCCATCAAGTTTATTTTGGCCATGAGTTTTAATTGTGTTGTTGAGTTTCACATTTTGTATTTTCTGGATGTCTTCACACTGTTCCAGTATTTCTTCTGGAGACATCCATGTTGAAGTGAAATAATTTGACTTTCAGACTACAGTCAGAGGAAATTTTAGAGTGTTAAAAAAAAAAAGCCTGGGCACAACAAACTTTGTTCTGTCAAATCTCATAATTTCAATGATCTCTAAGTTCTGTAACATTTCCTGCCTGGTCAAACTTTGGAAGGTCAAGTGAATCACTGTATACATCATTTTATACTCCCAGCTCATGTTTTACATTCTACTAGCAGAATTCTTCGGGGGGGAACTGCTAATTCTTCAGAAATGCTATGGAGAATAGCCATTTATTTGTCTTTCCATTTTCATTCTGACTGTTTCTGTCTTAAAAACTTGAATAAGATGCTGTATTTATTAAAACAAACTTCACTTCCATTTTATTAAATAAACCTAGATACAGAATCCTTTGATGAATTCTACTGTTCAGTAGAGGACCATCATTGTCACAACTTTGGGACTGTTTATCTTTGCTCTTCTGCTTGCATGGGTATATGTGGTGGTAGGTTTGCTTATATTTCCTGATTTGTGAGGTCTCCCTTTTTTGGTTTCTCTTATGTGCACAGCTTGCGCAGGTGGACTCCAGAGGTGTGCATCTTGGTGCTGTCATTGTTCGTGGCCTTTCAACTTTGCTGATGGCCAATAGTGCCTGTGGCTTTCCATTCAGAATGGATGATTTGATGCCTTGGCAGGTGTTTGATGGAAAACTTTTCCAAGAAAAATACCAGCAGTCACATCGAGGTTGCTCTTTGGAGGAGCTTTTGGAAGGCAATGTGAGTAATTGCATCCTCTTAGACAGTTCTGTATTCTTTGATAAATGTACCTGTCCATGTTCGTTTATTGTTTTAATATTCATGTTTACACTGGTCCACTTTCTTTGTATTTTTCCTCTCTTCCTTATTCCTTTTTCGTCCTCTCCACTGACAAAAAAAAACTAAGAAGATAGAAATACTGAGACTATGAAGGAAGCTATGATTTTACCTTTATTTTTGTTTCTGTTGCTCAGAAAAATAATATAAGGAAGTGTCAAAATGCTTGTCATATTTCAAAATATGATAATTCCTGTAATAGTTTTCTCATACTAAGATATTAAGAGATCTTTTTCCTTTAAGATTTTAGGCAACATACTAAGAATGTCTTTCAGTAAACATACTGGGTGTAATTGTTAAAGTGTTTAAGAGTGTTATTAAGGAGCCTAAAGTTCTAGTCGAAGGTTTGGTGAATTCAAAGAGGAACTGGAAACTGGAGGAAGGTAGGTATCTAGGTATTTTTTCAGAATCTCACCAGGTACCTTCTTGTACCTCCAAGTACTTATGTAGCTCTCAATCCTACTTTGACAGGCTAGAGATTTGTACAATTTGCATGCTATATTACCATAAAAACAGTATTATTTAAAACATATCTGCCCAGGCCAGGCCAGGGACATAGCAGCAGAGTCTTGCTGGATATGGGCCACATCTGGCTGTGTTAGGGTGGCATCCTGGCCAGGCTCAGAGGTAGGGTCTGCTAGACTTTGGGCAAGGTGGTAGGAATATGCTGGTGAAGCCTTGGACGAGACCTGGCTCATGCTCCACTGGCACAGAGTATGTGGAGAGATGCTTGGGTAGATCTGTACTCATCGGTGTAGATAGCTCTTAAGACCTTTGATTAATGTGACTCTTTTCAGTGTGGTACTGAAAATCCTGTATCATTTAGTTACTTTTGAAAATTTTATCTTTGAAATGTTTTTACCTGCTATTACATGTATCACTTGAGGTTAAAATAAATAAAAGTGATTACAGACACAGCATTTTTCAGTTTTCAATGATTTTAATCTCATGCATTCAATACTAGTTGTACAATTAGTTTTCTTTTCTAATTTTGTGTCCAGTTACATACCATCTGGATCTGCAATGATGAGTGGGACATGTGTGGGTGGGTGGAATGTATGTGTTTTCAGCATGGAGGAGAAGGAGGATAATATTTTCCATATGAAATCAATCATATGATTAGGACTATAGCCTCTACCCAGATCCTGTGGCTCCCATTAATTGGTCAGTTGATTTCAGTAGATTTTGAATTGGGCCAGTGCTTCCTCCAGTTTTTCATGTAGGACTTTTGCAGTGCAGTAGAGTATCCAAAGAATAAATGGGAAAATATGAACCTGTACAGATCTATGTGAACCTGATAATTCTTTTCCATTTGGGTAGAATTCAGGTTAGTGAATAACTTTTACAATATGTGTCTGTATCTGTAGAAAATTGATATTCCCTGAGAGGTTTTTTTAAATGTGCTAGATCGCATGTTTTAGCCAGCATTTGAAAATATCTTGATATGATCAGGTTAAAGGAAGGAAGGTGCTTAGATCTCTAGAACAGAGTTGGAAATTTTCTTGATCAACTAAAATATCTGGCTTAGGGTTTTGAAAGCCTGATACTCTAGTTTAAACAAACCCCAGATAAACGGTTCTGTTGTGGGAAAGAACAGCCTAGCCCTGTGAATTTTTAGAGTAGCTTAAATACCTTTTTCTTTTTTAGGTACAATTTTATGGTACATATATGGCAGAGATAGCTCCCAGACCAATAAAATAGCTTTCCGTCTTATCAGTTCAAGACAAGAACTGTTTGGGGGAGAATTGCCAAGAGATGCCAGTTTAGCTAGGGACACTGGCAAGGCAACAAGCATATGTGATTGGTTTTTCCTATTATTATAAGTTCAGCTGGTACTTAGTCTCTGGCAGAGCTTAATGTACTGCTGGAAGCCAAGATCTTTCAGCACTTCTGTGTTAACAATCTGCCCTTGAGCACCATAAATCTAATCTGATGATAGTGACAGCATTGTTTTCAGAAAACAGATATTCTACATGGGATTTTTTTATTTTAGAAAAGATAAGTAATAGGATAAGAAGAAATTACTCCTTTTGGTGTTTGGTGCTTGTCTTCTAACTCCTAAGGCCCCTTCTCTATGATCTGGATAGTTACATTACTTCAGGGAGATCTCAGAATCATTGTTTGGATTATGATGGGCTTAAATTCATTTTATAGCTTTATGAAAATTGCAGTAGAAATACAATCTTGGTTAAACATTTACATGTATACCAGAAATTTTGAACATTTTAGGGTTTACTTCCAGCAGATTCTTTTACCAAAAGAAGAAAATGTATAAATTATATGCAGTTGATATATTTGTGGACCGGTTTTTGTGTAGCTGAGCTCTTTGTAGCCTAGCAGCTATTAAAGATAAAAAATGGATAGCTTCTGATAAGAATCAAAAATAGAACCATCTTGCTTTTAAAAAAAAATATGCTAAGCTCATCTTATCTAGTTCTCTGTTTTTCATAACAGTAATCATATTAGTTTGTTTATCCACACAGAAAATTGGATATAATAGTCTCATAAAGCAGTGAGGCAATGATGTTATCACATTGTTAGCCTTCTTATTGTGCTTCTCAGTAATGAATATGTTCATGATCAAATTTTTTAAATTAAAACCGAATTACCTAATGGGGTCAGTGTAGATGGTATGCTTTCTCCTCTACTCATCTCTCCAAGAATCCACTTTTAATACAAAATATTTGAACTTTGTTTCCTGAAAAAAAAATGTGAACCAGATCTACCACTTTCATATATACATGAGTGTGACTAAGTTGTGGTATATGTGATTTATTTGTGCTGCACCTGAAGAGAGAAAAGCAGCACATCCATTGATTTTTAACCCTCTTGTCTGCAGGAATCTTTGTATACACCCTTTGAGAATCTGAAGTCTTTCATTTGCAAGGCTTGCATGGCAAAGAAAAGAACAATACACAGCAGACCAAGAGGGAATGGATTTATCACAGGTTGGCATTGTGTTGATTTTCTCAATAAGTCAATATATTGATAAGCTCAATTATCTTTCAACAGCAGCAGCATTTACATAGGCAGCCCATCAAGCCAATGAAATTGTAAGATCTTTCTCCAAGAAACCAAAGGAGAGATCTGGGAAAATATTTTGTGGTTTCAGGAATTTACGTGACTCGGATTACCCAAGTTTGAATAGAATAGTATTTCCATCTAGCTACACAGGTAGTGAGATATATGCAGTAAATAAAATATCTCTCACTGACTGAAACATCACTGCTATTTACTCAGTGGCTAAAGTTAATTTATAGAAGGAATTAGATGACTCAGAGGTTTTTTTTTCTTCTTTCCCTCAGGGAAGCTATTTTAATGTTGATAGTTGAAGGTCCAAGTGAGGCACTGAAGAGAGAATACTCTTTATTGGACTGACTGATACAGGCTTTTGGGCAACCTGGACAATGCCTTTTTTTTTCCCTCTACCCAAGACTTTGCTTCCACCCCTGTCAACTTTATGGCTCAGTTTACTAAAGACATTTGTTTTTCCCACTTGATCTGCCTGACTTTTAGGGGGGAAAAAACATCTGAAAGGTTTTTAGCACCATTCACTGATCACTCTGAATGTTAGGGATTTTGAGGCTTCAAAATAATTCATACTGAATCACAGTGCTTATGCTGCTATTAAGTTTATTACCTGCTTAATACCTGATCAGGTGTGTCTGTGAAGATAAAAATTACCCCTTCAAAATTCCTTGAGCAAATTAAACAAGAGTGATTTTCTGTTAGTTCAGTACTTTGCATTACGTGTCAGTGATACTTCTGCTGTGGTACTACACCATACTGGTGCTGGACATCCAAAACTAAACGTATCTGTTGGTAATTTATGATACCAGACCTTGTTAGCATCTGCTATTGCTTGAGAGCTGTACTTAACCATTATAGTTATGATTTGTGATTTCAATTTGGACAGAGATTTCTGTTTGTTGTAATGACTGCAGTCTCCAAATCTGTGTCATATAATTTTGATCTGGTTTCCAGATACACTTGTTAACAGCTTGTAATCATGATGTGCATAGACGGAAGGACAGACCCATGCTTATTAGTCTAACTTTAGTTTGGAGAAATTGTAATTGTGCATAAGTATTTTGGCATAAAACTAAGAAATGTTGTTTCCAAAAAAAGAATGCTCTCTCTTTTATTTCCTTTAATCTTACAGTTAGAGTTGCTTAGTAAATACTGTTTTTCAGGAACACTGCAAAGAGAATTTAATCCCAGGTTCCAACAAATACACAGAAGTTCTTTTGTTCCTCCATATCATAACCAGACGAGGGGGTTCCTGTGGAGAAATCCTCAACCACAAGGTAAAAAAAAGGTGTGCACATGTGTGTATTTCGAATTGTCTCTATCAACACTGTGACAGCTCTGTGTCTATATGAGATTGCATTTATATGTATGCAGTTATCCTGTGACTACAGCAATCTAACAAAACTTGTATCAGCTATAGTTGTGTACTGCCATTAGCAAAAGCTAACTATGCAAGGTGAGGAAGAGTGTAGCATTATAATCTGGAGTCATCTTCTACTCACAATGTTCTGGCAAAAAAAAACCTTTTATGTATTTAAACTTTCCATGCTTGGTCTCAGCTGAATTATATTTAAAATCATAATAGTTGTAAAGCAAATTGGTACAGCTGTATGGAAGTGTCTGTCTGAAGTCTTTAGCTGCAGATCGTAGTTCATACTTCAACAAAACATTGAAGCATGTGAATAAAGTTAAAAACATTCTGGAGTGGTTTTCTAGATCAGGGTCTCAGCTTCCAGATCGTTGCCTAAGTAGTGCAAACGCAAGTTCTATCTTATCTTGGCATTAATCTTAAATTATCCACCAATCTCACTTCTTGAACAGAACAATCATTTCAGTGGAGCATCACTGTGGATAACACTGTGGAGCTGTCATAATTCAGTTTTTTTCTCATTATTATGAGTTAAAGCATATACATATAGATTAACAAAAATAAAAGAAAGAGAAGTGTCTAACAAAGGTCAAATATTTTATTAAGTTTGTAGAGCCTAAATTTCTTCTGTGTTTCTGGGTGAAGTTTGCAGAGATTTATGATATAACTAAAGAAGGCTAAATGATAAAAAAATCCAATAAAGTTTAATTCAGCTGCCACTGTTGTAGACTTGAGAGATACTATCATTTGATTCACAGAAAAAGACTGATCATGTATGTAAAATGTAAAGCTAAAATACAGAGTATGTATGCTGACCAGGAGCAGAAACAAAACTGATCATTGGTATCATGTTCATCTCAAGAAGCCTGCTGTTCAGGGGTTGGGTCATCTCTGACCAGCTCCAGAGATATTATAACTACATGTATTTCACAAAGCATGTTCCACAGTAACTGTGCTGAACAGTGTTATGAATGTGTTTCAGTAGCATTATTAAAACATCTTGGCTTCTTCTACACTAGACCTATTTACTACCCTCAGGATACTCTTAAAACATGATCCCATAAGTGCAGTCAAATTGCCTCTGTTATAATTAACACAGATTTATTGGGAAAATGTATCTGTCCTTACAAAAGAGCCCTGCGATGTTTTAGAGCTCCTTTTAAGCTGATCTGCCAAGATGACTCATTTTGATGAAGTTTTTTTCCTGGGTTTGCTAATATTAAGACAGCAGTTGCAATGAGTTGCTTATGAAGCAATGAGTTGCTTCATTATGTAGCTTTTTCTCTGCTATATGTATGTGTCTCAGTAAAGAGAGAGAAAAAAGAATGAAAAAGTAGCGATTTTGTGTTCCATGATAGCTTATGTGATAAAACTTCCTAGTAAAATTACCTATCTATCCCATCCTTTATGTACATTCCCATGGTATATTGTTATGGTTCCTGCTGTTGCATAGTATACATAAATCATCGGATTAAATGCAGTAAAAATTAAAGGACGGGACCCATATCTTCTGTGTCAGAAGCGTACCTAACCATTACGCAGCCTTTGCTCTCTCTTATCTGTTAATGTTTAAGGATTTTGTGACATGGTCTCAACTTTAACAGTGGAGGAAAGAGAGCCTCCACCCAGAAAGCATAAAGCTAAGAAGCACTGGTATTTCTCTGAAATGATGTTTTGATTCTGCTTAGGCAGAACGAGAACTGAACATAGGCTTCCCTCATTTTATGGTGAATACTAAACTCTGATTTGTTGTAATTAACATCTCATCCTCTGCCTGTATTTTGAGAGAATGGAGTTCAGCTGTGGGATTTTTCTGGTTTCGGGTGAATGGGGTGGTTTGGGGGTTTAAAATATTTATTTATTGTAAGTTCTTTTCATAAATTTCTTGTATGTGTGTCACAAATGGAGAGTGTATCCATGTAACCCAGAGCAGAACATCTAAGCCTTACAGGGAGGTAGATTTTCCTTTAGTGTTTCTTGTTTGTTAATTTGGAAGATTTCCTATTTAGCATGTTGGCTGTTGTGTATCCTATTCTGAGTGTCTGTCCTTTTCTGATGCTTGTTAGACAGATCTTAGGTATCTAATTTAAATTTAAGGTTAGGCTTCTGTTACTGAGATATGAAACTGCATTGCAGCACTTCATAATCTTTGAGTTTCAAAGCCTTGCCCAAGGTAGCATAGACGTCTGTAGCAAACCATGACTTTACAGATTCTAGTTTCATGGTTGAAACACCACATTTTATGCCATATAGCCTATTGGCAGACAAAACTTCATTAATTAGAAGTTAAAACCACTAATACATTATTTTGAATCACATCGTTACCTCATTCTACAAATAGCTGAAAATAAACTGAGCACTAACAACTGTGGAAATCATGATATTGGCTATTATGTGTCTTTGCCACTCTTCCACAGTCCAGCTGATAAACACCTATAGTGTTTGTCATAGCATATAAATTACCCCCTAGATCTAAATTAACATAAAAAAGAAAGGGAAAAAAAAATTCATTTGCTATAAAAGGGGCTTATAAGAAAGATGGGCCTTTTGCAATAGGGTGAGGGGTGATGGTTTTAAACTGAAAGAGAGGAGGTTCAGACTGGATGTGAGGACAAAATTTTTTACAATGAGGGTGGTCAAATTCTGGCACAGGTTGCCCAGAGAGGTGGTGGATGCACCATCCCTGGAGACATTCAAGGCCAGGCTGGATGTGGTTCTGGGCAACCTTATCTAGTTGAAGGATGTCCCTGCTGATTTCAGGGGGGTTGGACTAGATGACCTTTGAAGGTCCCTTCCAACTCAATCTATTCTATGATTTTGTGTATTTAATCAAGGCTTCCACACTTACGCTGCATACTCTGTGTTCAAGCATATTTCTGGTTAACAAGATTTTGATGGAACTGGAAAGTAGGTGGGACTTGACAGAATTTTGGTGCTGAAAAAAGATTTCATTTTGAGTTTTGAGTACTGCTTTGCTTATAGAAATCTAACTGAAGCAGCACTGTACACAGGCACACTTAAACCAGTATGAAAACGTTTGTTAATACAGCTTAAGTCTGACACTAAATAGTATATTTTACTTTACTGAATTCACGTGGTCTGATCTATCAGCCACACTGTATGACCTGTATGATTCACTATCCCGACCCATGAGTTGGACTAGATTTAACAGTTGCAGTGGGCCAAGTGCTTTAAGAGCAATGCTGCCAGGGACTGTGCTCCAACATCTCAAAATATAGCCATAACTATACATGAACTGGAAAGGGACATGTTCTTTTTTTAATATTTATATAAATGTAGTTTTTCTTTCAGACTATCTGAATAAGCTCTTATATTCTTGCTTTAATCTTAATTAAAAACATTTAAATCCTCCCCTCCCTCCAGGTAGAGAGTATAGATCATGTCATCCAGACCGAAGGAGAAGATTCCATGTTCCTTCTCGGTGAGGAGTACAAGTGTTCAGGTAGCAAACTGAGATGATGGGGTAGTTACCATTGAGATATTTTTTGTTTATGAGATTGTCTTTTCATGGACTTTACAGAATAACTGAACCATGTGATTGTGGAGGAAATAGCTCAAAGCTGAGGCTATTCAGCTTGTTAATCACTTGTTACATTAGGTCTAAGCTTGCTATGAGATCAGAATCATTAAAACTGAAGTTAAAGGCACCAGCTGAAGCAAAATAGCATCCCAGTATAGCTACATTTTTTTGTCCATTTGGCACTTCAAAGTCTGAAGTGTTTTTATATTGTTAGATATTCCTGATTACAAGCTTTAAGACTTAAACTATAAGGTTTGCATATTTTTGTTATAGACGTGTATTACAAGAGTTTACTTACCATGAATATCCCTGCTGAATTGTGGTTCATGTTAATTCACAGCAGTTTGTGTCTTAATTGTGGATTATATCTTTAAGTGTTACACCATTGTTACCGAAACCCATTGAAAAATTTGAAACATGATATTACTGATGTCAACATCATCTACCAATGAACCAAGATCACCTTCCTGTTAAATGCAAAAAAAAAAAAATTGCTATTACTTTTGGCACTTCTAGTTAAATACCTTTGTCTGTGTATCTCAGCTGACTGAGAACCACAGGGACCCACATCACTGCTGAGGAGAGAAAGAATCTGTCATACTTACTTCTGTAAACTTACTTAAGAGAGCTAAGTCTTCTTTCCTGTCCAGAATTCTAATTTAAACACCTTCAGAATTATTTCTTAAAAGTTGCTTTATTTCACTTTGTGATTTCATTTCATGGATGTGTGTGTTTTATTATAAAATTAGTTCATTATAAATGGAGTTATATAAATAATGCTAAAGAACTGTAAAATAACAGAGCACATGCAATTTTTAACAGCACCATAGGATCATATGTTGGTAAATTGGTACTACAAAAGCCCCTCTTCAAGTCATTACTTGTATTTATGAAGGAACTGTTTTAGAGATTGCAACAACGTTCTTATGTCTTCCATTTGCATACCCATTCAGCTAAAAATAATCAGAGGTACTTTACTTAATTATTATCTTCAGGCTAAAAATATTAGGCAGTTATGTAGAAATCCCATTTTAAATCATGAAGTATAAAAATTGTACTAGAGGAAGACAGTGTCAACAACACTTTATGTCACATAGAAAATGGGTGACACACTTAGAACTGTGTTTATCTCTTTACTGATCTTCATCTCAACCTAATTGATAATTGTCTCCATCTAGGTAATCTTCAACAATTTCATGCTTTTCTTAGATTTTTAGCAAGCTTTGAATGGGGTTGGCTCAAGCGAATGTTTATGGAACTGATGGGGTTTCAGCTATTTATGTGCTTTGGAATTGCAGTATCTTTAGTTTTGACTTCAGCATTTTCAGTGCGTGAAGTTATGTAAGAACATCTCTTCTTCTCATACAGGAGGTATAAGATGAAAGAGAAATGAAAGTTTGGTGTCCCATTCCTTCTCTCAAAAAAAAAAAATATATATGCAGCCGAAAAAGGGGATATCCAAAGATAGAGGCAAAATGTTAAGAGCAAGATTTGAAATTTGATACAGTGTGCAGATTTTCCTAAGACCATGTTGAGTCACTGATGATGATAATTCAAACGGTAAAGTCAGTGGTGTTGCATGTGAACAAAATCTTGTATTTCCACAGAAAACTGTGGCCTTAATGTTTATCATGTTGGAAAATCCACTCTTTTGGACTATTTTTCTTTTGAATAATACTGACCAATATCTTGTTAGTGTAGCTCTCATAATGATCATTCTAGATTTTACTGATACAGAAACTGTATCTCACTCTTAGCCTTCTTATTGTATATAATTGTATTTATTTTTATAAGCATTTGAAAATTAAATCTAAAAACTATCTCATGACCAATCCTGACAGAGAGTAGCAGATGCTGTGAAACTTAGTGCTTGTGTTAAGACTTGCAGAACTTCAGATGCTGATTTGGATAATTAATACATTGATCACTAAACCTAGAATGCGTCCTTGTGGTAGTTTAATCAGCTGTGTAATACGGATCACTAAATCTTACACTGCAACAGGCTATAACTTCTAAAATTGTTTCAGTGTTGATGTTCATGTGTCTTGTCTCCTCACAACTGTTTGTTTTTTAAATCACCCAGGTGATCCTGCTCATTACTGGAAGTGGATGAAAATGGCTAAGAGAACAAGATGTGTTATGAATTGCTGTATGCTGAAAATCATTAAAACTTCATCAGTGTTTCGAAACTGGTAGTGGGAGAGTCTAATCAGAAGTTTATCATGCCTCATTTTCAGTTCCATTTTATTTTTATACTTTTTGCTTCTAGCCTGTAGCTTAGAGAAGTAAATTATGGAGTGTTGTGAAACAATTATTATACAGTTTAAGTTCCACAAAGTATTGTTTGGGGCACTTTGCAAAAACCTGGTTGACATGCTTATAAAAAATGATCATCAAAAAGTTACATGTAAAAAATAGAGGGCAGTCCTAGGTATTGAAGAAGGCTACAAAATTTTAATCAATTCATTTGGTTCTGTGGTGAAAACTGTTATGCCTCTTCTGTTAAACCTTTATGCTATTCTATTAACGGTTTGAACAGACACCATTTTTACACAGCACAGTGTCTGATTTGCATTCCAGGGATTTTGTCGTGAAAGGGACATTCCTGCTGCCTTTTTCTATTGATTTAGAATTTCCTCCAAAGTTATACTGGCCAGAGGCTTAGTCTAAGTCTTAGTGTGTCTTAAGACACTTAGACTTTGAGGCTAAAGACAGATGTAAGGGCTGGAATAAACCTTAAATACTTCATAAATGACTCACTGCATATGGAAGAGAATTCTAGGTATTCCAGAAGAGGACTATCCATTTGAATCAGCTCTGAAAGGCCCCAAAATAATAGGACATTAAAGCTATAGCAGTTTTGTACATAGAAACTGATTTTATAACTTTCTGGAATCTTTTAGGTACCCTTTTCTCATTCTCTGAGACTGAGAAACTATGAAAGTAAGCCACATGGTAGAAAAGTAACATTTTTTAACTGTAACATGATTGTAAACACTTTAGAAGAACCCCTTTTTACCCAAGACTGGGCACTTTCAGCCTCAAATAGCATAAAGGTTAATTGTACAACCGCTTTTTTCTTTTTCTTTTCTTCCCCCTTAAAATCTCTTAGAATAATGTGATCCGACTTTTATGGAAAGTTCTCTAGTTTCAGGAATCTCATGATGTATAATAGTGTATTTGAAAAGAATGTAATTGTGTGCCAGAATTTGTTGGTAATTTCCCCTTCAGGCTTTGATACGAGAAAAGATTTTGGTTGGCCTCAATAAATAAAGTTAAATACTGTTGGAGTGGGAGTTTTGCTGTGCTAGTTGTGGTATGTTATGAATTGTTGGTAATAATTACCCTGACTACTGAAGAATTGTTAGCTTCTCTGTGAGGCTTTTTTTTTTCTTTCTAATGTTAGACCATAAGCAGAAGCTGCTTATTATTATTTCCATGCCAAAGGTTTTTTTCCCACCAGGAATCATAAAGTGAAAGGAGAAGCATGAAGTCAAAACAAAGTTGCTACTTTCCTGTCACCATGAACCTTAAATTGGTCACAGTACCATAAAGCTTATGGACTGTAGAAGGAAACAATATACAAGAACATGACCTTAAAGGTTCCATTCTAATAGGGTTTCCTTAATATGTGGACTACAGGGTTACTTTGCATGGGCAGGTGGATTTGAAGTGAAGGAACCTCCATTTGTGAGGAAAAACTTTCTTTCTTCTTGTTTGGCTATACTGCTTACTGTCTTCTGTATCCAATGCACTGGGTAGCTGCCTTTCATCAAATGTTCAGTAAAATTGTAGACTTATATATTAGCTTTATTTCTGGAATGGGATTCAGAGAACATTCAGTAACATCCATAACTTTGTCAACTGTGACTCAACAGAAACTGTGACATGGTCATTGCAAGAGTGGCTCACAGAAAGACATTTATCAACTTTCATCTTTTTATTATGTACCCTTCATCTTACATTACTTTGCTCATTTGTGACACTATCAGGCTGGGAATCTGTCTGAGTTGCAGAAAACACTGAAACACTGAGTTAATCTTATGATGCTATGGCACTGTAAGTATCAAAACATACAGATTATGTTTGTTTTATATAACAGGAAACAACAGTTTTAATTGCTGTGCTAGCTTAGCAAGTGCTATGCTGAGGTGGAGGGGAACAGCAGTGCCAAAGCTCTGCAAATAATTTTTCACCACGCTTCTAAACGTAGGTCGTTCAGACTTGCTGAGGTTGCTCAGAACAGGGCTCAATGATGGTGAATATACAAGCTCCAGTGTTTCCTGGTGTCCCAGGTGCACAGGTGTTTGACAGCCACATGGCTGGCTGCACCCTGTATGCTCTACCAGGCTGTCCTCCTGCCCCCGATGGGGTATAGCTGCCTGCAGCTGGGTGACCCTGGATTCAGCTGGTGTATAGGAAAGATCTGTGTGAGAGATCTATAAAAAGTCTCATGGGAGGCCTCTGCCCCCCGGCTCAAGTGTTCCATTTAAGCTCAGGTCCCTGCCTAATCTGCTTTGCAGGTATGGCTGTGTCCAGCCTGGCACCTTGGCTTCCTGATTTGACTTCCTGGTTTGACTTGGAACATCCTTCATCTCCACAGACTTGTCCAGTGATTACGGGACTCTTGTGTGAACCGGGTTACTGTCATCAGACCTGTTCTGCTCTTGTTCAGGTACCATGGGACTGGGCCCTCACAAGGAAAGTGATGCCCTACCTGTGTTGCCATTCAGATGCTGTCTTGCCTTCCTTTGTGGAGCAGCCCACCCTTCCTGCTCCATGACAATGGGTTATAAGGCCCTGAGAGCAAGGTGGTAAGAAATTTTAGCTGGAACTACAACAGTAATTGGACAGTGTCAAAACAATAGATATGGTCCATGGGATTACTTGCTGCTGGAAACATAGTTGAAAAACTGAAAACAGCTACAACCAGCACAGTGCCTTTGTGTATCTCTGTGCAATTAGGACCTTGCATTCACTGATTTCCTAGATCTCACAGCTGACATCCAGGCCTTTCTCACCCATAATCAAGCTACTGAGAGCAGAGAGCAGAGCTCAGAAAAAACACACTGTATTTTAATACAGTGTATTTTAACATTATAATGCACTGTATTTTAATGTTAATACACTGTATTTTAATGTTACACACCACAAGTGAGAAGCTGCCTCTGAACATGGAAGATCATTTGTTAAAGAATATGTTCCTACAAGTGATACTCCTACAGCTCTGCTGGCTTCTGCTGCTTTTAAAGTCCTACGTAGGACATAAGGTGTTAAGTGTTATTACAGTGTCTTGGCTAGGGCTTTTCACCTGGAAGTATGTAGTCCTCTTAGGGCTCTGTAGTTGAGACAACACATGGTGAGTTGGTTATCTGTAAAAGACAGAGAGGCAGCTGACAGTATAGTCTGTCTGAGTACTCACCAGCTTAAATGTGTTATTTAATCTTATTACAAAATTAAGGATTGATGTTTGGTATTGAAGAACCTATTACTAGTAGTGGTCAAATGCATGAAGGGATATATTCAATGATGTTAATACATTTTATCTAGACATGAATTTCAGTATGAAATATGTTGATGTTTCAGATGTATTCATCATCTCTTTTTCATGCCAGAAGACACAAGAAATACTAGACACAGAAACCAATTCTGGATATAAGCCCTCTGAAAATGCTTGAAAACTGAAGTTTTTTTTAATAGAGAGTGATGCCCCCAGTCTTAAAAATTAGGTAGCCAAGTATGCAGCTGGCCTTTGGACTCTTATTAAAGAGCAAAACTATTGTAAAGAGCTGTTCTGATCTCATATATGATTTCTAAATATGCTGTAGGTAACTCAGGAAGTCATTCTTCAGTGAAAGAAATCAATTTTTTAGGAAAGTAATGAGAGATTTGTATGCTGTTTCTGGCATTTGGAAAATTTAAGTCAAGGTAACCATTCAGGAGTTAGGTTTATCAGATCCACCTATTTTAGTCAAGGGTTTCTTTGTTTGATTGTTTGTTTGTTTGTTAGTTAATAGCACAGGCCCAGCAAGCTCTCTTTACTTTCTGAGACTACTTAAATTTTCATTTGTGATGATGATGCAGCTCATCTGAAAGGACAATTCTGTAATGTGCTGTTCTGATACTCCTCTGGTTTAATTGCCCATCAGATCCTCTAGTTCTCCTGATCTGTATTCTGCTGGAGGGGTTTCAATTTAAGTGAAGTTCACCCAAGTCTGAGGCACGCTGGTGATAAAGCCAGGCCTCTTGTTATGTAATACGCATATGAAAGATCACCACATTTAAATATGGATAAAAGGCTTACTCTGAATCTTAACCATCTTTGGGCAAATTGCAGCACTTCTCTCTTAAACAAAGCCTTCCTTTTGTAGGTGTGATTTAATTTCTACTCTATGTTCCTTGTGCAGAGGGGAGATTCCGCAAAGGAGCAAATATGAGGGGTTAAAAAAAATCCACTGGTGACATTGCATTGTTAAGCAGAAGAGGCATTGCAGCTACACAGTTGATGCACCGCAGCACAGAGCATTACAAAGGTGGACAGTGCATCTAGGCTAAAAGTTCCAGGTTTTAAAAATGATTCAGAAAACTAGGGCATACTGTGCTTCCATCATGGTTGCAATAACCTTAATGCAGTTGTATTTTTTTTATTGACTACCTGCATATCTGGGCTCATTTTGCAACTGTGTGCCACTTCTACAAGTCTATACAGTGATTGTGGCTTATGCTTTGCATAAGGTTACATTTTCAATGATTTCCTGAAGTGGCCAAGAAAAAGAAGTAATTATTAACATGCAAATTCATCCACCTGTTATTTTGAAGAGCGAATTCTTTTACTTCTTCGCATTACTGATTACTACATGAAGTCCTGGCAACAAATAGTGCTGTAAGAATCTTTTGGTCTAAGCAAGTTACGAACTAGCATCAAAGAGAAAAATGCTAAGTGCTGTTAAGAGCCAGTTTGTGTGTCCTAACAATTACTTGTTGGGAGTAGGAAAGAAATCCCAAATTTGTCGTTGTGCATTTGTTTACCCTCACATGTTACTGCTTAATCAATCCACTATCCCTCTCCCTGATAAACCCTCCATATGTCCATAGAGGGAGCCCAACCTAGCAAGGCTGATCTTGGTTTAGAAATTAGGATTGGAGGATGATGGGGCTTCTTTTCTGTTACTTGTGCTCCAGGAGTGCAGTGCTTCAGGGGATTGTTAACTGCCCTCTGTAATGCTCACTAGGGCTACAACTGGTGCCAGCCTGCAGCATTTAGATTTTGAGAGGATGAGTGTCCAGGCTGCTGGAGGATGCAATGCATTTGCCTTTCTATGTCCTGGATATGATATATCCTTCAAGAAGGAATAGTTTCAACCTCAAAATAGTTGCACTTCTAGGTATGTGAGGGTAGTGTGTGTGAAGTTTCTGCAAGAGACTCTGTAGCATTTTTCTCTTAAACAATTTTTTTCCTCTTTGTATGACTTCAGTTAAATCTCTGAAGGGCCAGAGGGAAGGTTTTTTCCCCTGAATTCTGTTGGTTTTAAATTGGTCCCACCAGAAAGGGAGATAAATCGGTTTAAAGGTAACTTTACAGAAGATTAAGAGGATATGAGAATTGCTTGGAGAAAAAAACAGAAATTAAGGGCTATGTTTTGTCTTAGGTGGCTTGCGGAACTGATTTCAGATTAACTGCACCCTTTTAGAAGTGTTAGACTGACAGTGCTGGGAAATTAGCCCAGGCCTTCTGACTTCTGGTAGCTTTCCTGACTGCTGGACTACAAACTTGCATGACAGATTGCATCCAGCACAGTAGGCTGCAGAAAATAGTTAATGGAAAATAGGCTGCTTTGATGTTCACTTCTGGTGGGCCGATCCTCTGGTTTAAAGGCTAAACATCTATTGTCCTCAGTAGGAGTTTTTGTTACAAAAAACTTTCACAAAATCTGTAATTTCCCATTTTGTTTTCTGAGTCTGTGGTTTGCTCTATTTCTACATTCAGTAGCCAGCAAGTATTTTCAAGAGCAATTTGCGATTTTTGGGTCGCTATCTTCAGATGCCACAGACAGGACCTTATTTCTCAGAAATTGCTAAGCATCTGTCCTCTACTGCTAAAGCAGATGTCTCTGAAGTATTTCCATTAGAGCACCAGAAACGAAGGCACCTAAACACGCTGCCTACTTTCCTGAAAAATGGATCTAAGCACTGCAGAGGTGCACCTTAGAAAACAGGCTCGGCTAGAATTAAAACGAGGAGGGGGGGGGGGGAGGAGAGTGAGAGCAAATACAGTAACAGCCTATGA